CAAGCTTATGTTTCAACATAGCGTATCAAATGTTCAAATCACACAAAGGGTCTTCTACTGAAATAAAATGTATGCATATATTCATTCATACATTCTAGAGCCCGACCAATAAAGGATTTTGAAGGCCGATACCGATACAAATATTTGATGGTTTTAAAATCCGATATTCCAATATATATTGGTCGATATATAGTGTATATATTTTTTTTTTCAGAAACGCGCAACAAAACATTAACAGATTTCCCTAACGTTAGTTATTTGTAGTTATGTATGAGTTTTAACTAAAATACTATAATAATGCATTTTAAAAAGAAACTTGTTTCTTTTATCGTCACAACAGAACTGAGTAACCAAAGCTCATTAATGTTAACGTTAGCGGTCTTCCACTGATAATAGTGGCATTAGCTAGCTTTGTGATTAGCTAGTCTATGATGAGCCACAATTTAGCAATGGATAACGTCATACTGCAAATTGTAAAATATATATTTTCAATACAACAGGCCAAGGAGAGATGATATGTCTCATTGCTATAACGGTCACGCGCTTTTAAATAAATACTTCAGTCACATTATCAAAAGTTAAAAGGACAGTCAGTCAACTACACTGTAAAAACGTAACGTAATTATAATTTTTACTAGCTGATTCCGCTTCACTCTCGGCTTATTTAACAGCAGCAAAACTGGACATGATAGTCACAAATTTTGTCATGCTTATTTGAGTTAAAGGATTAGTTCACTTTTGAAAAAAAAACTTTTGCTGATAATTTACTCACCCCCATGTCATCCAAGATATCCATGTCTTTCTTTCCTCAGTCGAAAGGAAATTAAGGTTTTTGATGAAAACATTCCAGGATTTTTCTCCATATAATGGACTTACATGGGAACCAGACGGTCCAAGGTCCAAACGACAGTTAATAACAGTTTCAGATGCAGCTTCAAATGTCTTTAAACGACACCAGACGATGAATAAGGGTCTTATCATGCGAAACGATCGGTTATTTCAAAACTTATTCCAAAAATGTAACTTTTCTAAGGACAAATGCTAGCCTTGCTCTATTCTGTGAGGCGCGTTTGCAACGTCACGTAATACGTAATTACGTTCAAAAGGTCACGGCCGACATAGCCGGAAGTACAGAATCAAAAACGTCCGACATCGTTGTTTTACCTTTTAATTCCTTTTTTGTAAACGGCGTTTGAGTTAGTTTGCACGTTCAACCTATGCGTTCAACTTGTAAACACTCTGACTCTGTACTTCTGGCTACGTCGCCCGTGAACTTTTGAACGTAATTACGTATTACGTGACGTTACAAACGCACCTCACAGAATAGAGCAAGGCTAGCATTTGTCCTTAGAAAAGTTACATTTTTGGAATAAGTTTTAAAATAATCGAACTTTTCGCATGATAAGACCCTTATTCATCGTCTGGTGTTGTTGAAAGACATTTGAAGCTGCATCTGAAACTGTTATTAACTGTCGTTTGGACCTTGTACCGTCTGGTTCCCATGTAAGTCCATTATATGGAGAAAAGTCCTGGAATGTTTTCATCAAAAACCTTAATTTTCTTTTCGACTGAGGAAAGAAAGACATGGACATCTTGGATGACATGGGGGTGAGTAAATTATCAGCAAAATGTTGCGGCATGGCTTGAACAATGCTGCTTACAGTTAAACATCTCTAAAACAGTGTGTATGTTTCTCACCAAAACTAAGAATTTAAGTATAGTGCCAGATGTATTTGTATCAGGGGAAAGATTACAAGTTGTATCTGAATTTAAGTACCTTGGTATTTTGATTGATTCCAAATTTTCATTTAAGGCACAGGTTAAAAAGGTCTGTAAGAAGGTCAGATTTAGTTTATCAAATTTTAGATTTATTCGTGATTATATGTCGTCTGAAGCCGCTTTGATGTATATGCATTCCATGATTATTTCTCATATTACCTACTGTTTAACTACTTGGTCACATGCTAATATTACTACTCTGAAACCACTAGAGTCTTTGTATAAACAGTCACTAAAAACTCTTGACAAGAAATCCGTTCGGTTTCATCACTGCTCAATATTAAAAAAATACAACTTGCTAAGCTGGGATAACTTAATTAAATATGTACATATCTGTTTACTGTTTAAGACTATACATAGCCTGTCTTCACCATTAAAACAGTTTGTGAACATTAGAACAACTGCTCACAGATCTACAAGGGGAGGGGAAAGAGGGGACTGTATTATCCCTCTCAAAAGAAGTACCTTTAGCCAGTCTGTGTTTTCGGTCAGAGCTGCAAGGGAATGGAACTCCGTCCCATCAACAATTAGACAATTGCATGCTTTTGGTTCTTTTCAGTCTCATCTTAAAAAATGGTTATTGACAAATCAGCACTGTCAACATTAGTATCGTATTCTTGATAATAGACTTATTTGTACCAATTGCTCTTGGCTTTGTCCCTCTCTTGTGTAGCAATCTCTCTCTTTCTCTCTCTCATGTTTTTTTTTTTTTTTTTTTTTTGTTTTTGTTTTTGTGTTAGATAATATATGTTTATTTTATTTTATCTTGGTGTTTTTTCTTTTTTTTGTATATGTGTGATGCTCTCTCTGTTTTTAGGGTGACTGTGTAACATTCTGTCAAGGGTCTACGGATGAAAAATAGCCTCTTGGGCTAATTCTGGCACATTTACACTTGTTTATTAATGTGCATTGACCCTGTAAATAAAATAAAAAAAAAAAAAAAAGTTTTTTTCAAAAGTGAACTAATCCTTTAAGAGAACTGATAAAGATGTTCTTTTAATTGTTATTCAAGCTTCACACTATGATTACACTTCACCGATGATCTCATAACTGCCGATACCGCCAATAATATCGGCCTGCCGATACAGTATATCGGTCTGGCTCTATTCCTACATATTCATTTACACCTATGTCTCATATTCTCTTGTCCATAAAATGAAAGTGAATGATGTAAAAAGCTGTAAAAAAATATTCGGTGAACAATATCTTAATTGTGCCTATGAGTACTTTTACTACTTTTTTTTATTTTTTGTCCTTTTTGAAGCTTGACAACCCATTTACAACCACAGAAGTAAGTTTTCTTTCACATCTATTTTATGGGAGAAAGCAGTACACGCAGTCCATGTACAAGAAATCATATAGTTTTAAGACAGTTTTATTTTTTAGGTTTTATCACTCTAAAGGCTAGAGTTCTATTACTATAGCTGCCATACTGACTGTTGCAATTTTTCCCATTCCTTTTTGTGGTCATGTCCTCTTTAATTCATATAGTACTTCTCTGAGTGGACATGATGGCTTTATTCTCCTGAAGGATTCAGATAAAGCCCCAGAGCGGCAGATAAATCTCTGGATACCCCATTGCTAAGCAGGGATCTTTCAGCAGGGCTCTGACCTAAAACTGTTTGCAGAGTAGATTAGCATCAGCTAGTCAGGCGTTAGCATAAATGGAGTTTTATTTTGGAGCGGATTTTTTTGTCTTGTAAATATTGATCAGAGATGACCCATTCTTGACCCTGCACTCCAGATAATTAATAGTTAAGTCCTAAGATTTATTCAACTTCTTAATGCTCTAGACATCCCAAGACCCAACCACAACAGGGATGTTTAAACAATGTTTGCATCCATGGCTGACAGCAGAGGCAGAGAGGTAGCTGAAAATCACGAGATATAAATAATGAACACCTTATGTGTGTGTACTGGGATATGTAAAATTCAGAATTTAAAACAGAACCAAAAGAGGACCACAAAACATAAATGAATCTACAGAAATGCTTTTCATGGGTTTAAGTGCACTCTGCCAGATTTTCTTGCTTTGAGGCTGCTGGCAGATGGTTATGTTTGAGTGCATGGAGAGCAGAACATAGGGTGGAGAAATGTTAGGACTCTGTCCAAGTCTACAAAGACTGCGAGCTTTAGTCAAACGTCATGACGTGTTAAAAAACTATCTCAAGAATCACCTATCCAGAGAGTTTGGTTTGTACGATCCGAAGAGAATATGAACAAGGCTTAACAACGTCACCTTTAGCGATATTCCATCTCTCTTATGTTGGTGTTGATAGCTTGTAACTTTTAAGCTGATGTGTTATTGTGACAACTTTTGGCTTTCCTTCATTTAATGTGCAAACGCCAATCTCAACTGCTTCTCAGCTGTCTAAGCTGTTAACCAGGATTCTTCTGCAAACATAACAGTATGTGTAATTGCTCCTCCAGAGAGCACAAGAGGTGAAATATGAAATATATTGCAAATGAACCATTGAGCTTATCTGCCTCGGTGCTGACATGCGAGAATTGATAGGTGGAGCAATTAAATCCAGCTGAATTCTTACAGAATAGGCTCTTGGTTCGTGTTTGGCAGGTGAAGTGATGTTTTGTAAATGGGCGGATGCTAAATAGAGGGTAACATTTTATCAGGATGGAATCTGAAGACATAGATGACAGACAGCCCTGACGTTATCGTTACTGTAGATCATATTGAAAATAGAGATAATGAAGCCTCTCAGTACATTCGAAAAATGAGAGATTGGGGTGGGGTGGGTGCCATAGGTGTGAGATGGTAACATTTTAGATCTATTGCTACACTCAATGCTTACACAAACACTCATGACACTCAAACATGTTGGGTTTTCTTGTTTTATGAAGGCTTTTATGACACTTACACGTTAATTTAATGTTTATAGCCTGACTCGGATAATTTACAGTAGTCTTAAACAAGAATTTGTTGAGAAATGTTTGAGTTAATATTTTAATCTCTTTTTACGGCAGACTTTAGCACAGTTTGAGACATTGTTGAGATGCGTTCTAAAATTCTAGAGGCACATGTGAGATCATTTAGATAATTTTTTTTTTCTTGGAGATTTAAAGCAAATTAGGCCAATTCATCTTAGTGCTACTTAAATATTAACAAGACCTTTTTCGATCTGAATCTGTTTGTGCATACACTACATACTTTGTGTTTATGTATGTGTATTTTTTTATTGATGCCCCTCATTTGACTTCTCCAGAGCTGATCCATTCTCAAAGTGTGGTGCCATTTGTGGGTTCCAGCCACGGACAGCAGTTTCAGACGGTACTTTTGGATGAGGAGAGAAGCCGATTATTGCTGGGAGCCAAAGACCATATTTACCTACTGGACCCAGACAACATCAATAAACACCCCAAAAAGGTAAACACACACCTTACAGGGCTAACACCTGCAGACATGCAGAATCAGGTTTCAGAAAAGGCACGTAAAGACTTTACACTATGTGTGGTCTAGGGCAGAACTTAGCACATTTTTCCAATAGAATCATTTAGAGGAGAATTCACTCACTCTCAGACAGGTTGACATTCATTTGGAAAAGCAGCTTTACATTGTGTTTTTTAAAAGATGTGAGAATGCATTTACAAATGTCTCTTGCAAAAAAAAAAAAAACCCAAACAGATTCAGTATGTCAGGGTTTTGTCACTTCTGTCTAGTTTATTTCTTGGTTTTGTGACAGAGCTCTGACACTCCTGTTTTGTCATGTCTTTGTGTGGGCGCACCGTTCAAGAACGCTTGCCTGTATGCCTTGTTACATGTGTGGGGCATGGTGTTTGGATCCCGGCACGTCAGTCAAGTTGAGGATTCGGACATTCATGCTCCGTGTGTTTGTATTCTGCCGTGAGCGCTAGGGTTGGATATTGAGAATCGAGTATCGATTGGAATCGGGACTAACTTTTCGTTTTTCCCGGAATCGTTCAAAAGTTAAAATTTTGATTCCTAGTTTCGATATTCACAGTCCGCCGAGCGGAAGAAGAAACCGCTGAACAACACCTACGAAGAAGCATCTACCGGAAGTGTTGGCATAACCGCGCGAGTCGAACATGAGTAGCTTACGTCGGCGGTCAAAAGTGTGGCTTTACTTTTCTAAAAATAACGAAATCCCGGCAAAATGCTAAATTTGTGACAAAAGGAGTATTTGTGACAGAAGGAGTATTTCCTTCAGAAAGGATTATTTCCTTCAGAAAGACCGTTGGTTAGCAAGGTCAGCTAAACTTTTTTGACCCTGCCTCTTAAAAGAATCAGAATCGAGAATCGTTAGGAACCGGAATCGAAACAAGAAATCGGAATCAGAATCGTTCAAATTCAAACGATACCCAACCCTAGTGAGCGCACAGGATGTGCTTTCGCTCATCCTCGTGCCTTCTGTCTGTCTTGTCGTGTGTGAGTGTGCGGTTTCGCATTTGCTTGATCCGTACGCTCTTCTGTCTGCGTGTTTTGTGCTGTCTAGCACTCAGCTTGCTGTGTGCTTTCATGTTTTCATGTTTTGTGTGAACTCGTGGCTTATGAGTGTTTTCATTGGCTGCATGTTCATATTTCCCATTTTGTGAGCACATGGCTTGTTTTACTGGCTTGTCATGTGTTTCCTAGTGCCATGTGATCTCCTGTCAATTAGTTAGCCCCTCCCTTCTTGTTAATAGATTGATTCATTTGCCCCACCTGTCTTCCCTTGTTACCTGCTTTGTTTGCGCTCCTTATTTGTTCTCCTTGTGTTTTACTGGTTAGACAATAGACAACAGATAGAGAGAGATGCACATCAACATAACTTTATTGTTCTTTGCTAACATCAAACTTGAAGAGGATTCACTCACATGATGTTTTTCTCTCAGGCTATGTTTACACGGAAACGATTCTGAAGGGAAAACGCAAAAGTGGCGTTGCGTCATCACTTTTTATTCTGCGTTTAGACGAGCGTTTTGTGTGAGAAATCCGCCTGCAAATGGTGACGCAAAAGTGTGTAAAATTCAATGTAGTATGCACTTCAGGCGGCTAGGAGTGCTTACTCCAACAACACCAAGTCCACGCACCTGCGTACAACCTTCACTGTCAAGACTTTTGCGTTTTTACCGTTTACATGGGAACGCGGCGGTGGAGCGTTTTTAAGATTTCCACTTTGGAGGATGGTTTCACTTTTTTGCGTTTTTAAGCCTCAAAAATGCCGTCGCCGTGTAAACAAAAGGCACATCCGATAAAATATTTTTACGTTTTCACCCGCGAGCGTTCTCGTGTAAACAGGGCCTCAGTCTCTCTTTTTGTGACCAGAAGGATACTTCCACTTAATTATCTCATCGATGTTGTAAACTTTGATTGACATGCTATGACACGAAGGGGAGGCGGGGCCTTCAGTAATTTGTGGGGCCCTACACAGCTTACGTAGTGTGCATATAGGGAGGTTCGGCTCTGGGTTTAACATTAACTATATCAAGTGCATGTTTAGTTTGAGTGAGTGTTTGTAAACTAGACAGTACTATGTGGATGTGCATATGTAATTCAGAATCACTAATACGTTTTATGCATTATTCATTTTTTGTTTTAAACTTTTGACTTGTCGACTGGTTACGCTCCTGTACTTGGACAACATGATCTGGGTTAAACTAAGTACAAATCAAAACTGTTTATAATTTCCAATCTCACAAAATGCTTGATAGCATGGTATGAGCGTCTCTGGATATGTTTAGCTTATGAATTCATTTATGGTAGTAGGTGTTCGAGTGTATTTATGTGTGTATAATATATGTGCTATAAGAGGTCCTTTAGACTTTCTTTATACTTTCACCCCAACAAGTTCTCAAAGTTATTTCACTGTCACTTCTAGATATTCCCATAGCATCACCCTACAGAGCTCCTGAGCTGACCCTACCACTATCACACCTGTCAATCACTGTCTCCACAGTGGTCCCTAGGGATGCACCGATACCACTTTTTAAGGATCGAGTACGAGTACCGATATTTTTTTCCGGGTACTCGCCGATACCGATACCGATGCCTGGGGGGGGGGGGGGGGGGGGGGGGGGGGTGATTTTCTAAGAACAACACAATGAGACAAATGAACATATAAGCATCTTTATTTTTTTAACAACAAACTTTAACCAATAAATTGAGAGTGGTTTATTGTCAAGAACAATGAATTGGGTAAGCATTTCTGTTATTTTTATTGCTCTTGGGGTATGTTTTGACATTTTCTCTTGCCTTGAAAAGGTTGCAAAGTTTGTTGCAGAGTGCTACTGCTAGTGGCAAATTCACCGTGCTCACTTTTGTGTTTAAATTTCAGATGTTTTATCAAGTTACGTGTATTATATGTACTGGCTTTTGTACCTCCTCTCGATTAGGGGTGTCCAAACCGGTTAACCGATTAACCGTTTAAAATTGTGGCGTCAATACATTTGCACAAAACTTTTGCGTTTTTTTTCTGAATGTCGATAAAAAAAATATTGTGAAATGACAGCGTTTCTATTAAAGATGTTATGCGACTAAAGCATTTTTTTCTTTCGCGATAAGTCATTCCAAAAATAATGGCAACGGTCTATATCACAACCACCGCACTAGACATTAGCCTATTATTATTTATGTGAGGAGACGTGGTGTGTCATCCCAACGCATTCTCATCCCAAAGCGCCATATACAACGCTTTTGCAAAAGCGTAAATATCCAACGCACATGGCAAAGACACAGAGTTTCTGTGTGTTTCTCCCTCATTTCTGCTCCGAGGTCTTGATTTTGCCATTTCTTTGAGGTTTTGTCTAGTAGGCTATTCCTTAATCTTTTATGATTTAAAAAAAAAAAAAATAAAGAACTCTGCCTCGTATTATGTCCAAACGGTCAGTGTACTTTTGTGTTCATTCGTTTCCCCTTATTTAATCCGTAGGCCTAATTGCAAAACGAAAAATGAAAGGTTATTTTGTAAAACGCAAAGTTGAACACCAAAATGTTCATTTGAACTGTAGGACTACGTCAAATGCTGCGCAAAAATATATAGGCTATATATAGGCTATACATATCGACGAATTTTCTGATATTTGTTTGATTTTTTTGCCCATTTAAACATTTAAAATATTTGGCAAATGAATATGGAAAAAAAAAAGATTTTACTGGTTTTCTGAGGCCAAATTAGAACCTGGAAATGATATTTCCCCCCCAGTAATGAGAGCCGTAACCACAGCCTACAGAAAGGAGATTTATAGATGATTTATAAGATACAGTATAATAAATGTGTCTGATAATAAAATAATATAAAATAACGAGACATTAATTGTTTGTTATTAAACTATTGTTTTCTAAATCAGTTTCTGCTAAAAACAATTCTCCATCCCCGGATGCACCTTTAGAGAGAAATACATAATTAGCTAGGCTACATAATTACATAGTCAGAAGATATTGGCTTTCGATTCGAATTTGTTCGTTTTAAATTGGACATTTAAAGCTTTAGTCTACTCACACTAAAGCTTTAAATGTCCAATTTAAAACGAACAAATTCGAATGCGTCTGTTTCAGTTCTCGCGCTTCAGTTCACGGAGATCATGAAGCGCGCCTGCTGTTAAAGCACAACGTTTTCTTGTTATTGTGAGTTTACGCAAATAAATGTATTTGTCAATAATGTATTATTATTTTCTGTATGACCAGAAATGAAAGAGTATTTTAAGTTGTTTCCACTGAAAGAACTGCAATGAAACTGCAAGTGTTCACATGGGCGTCTTGCAGCCATCAGTGCACGTTCCACACTAAGCACACACACTATGCGTCAAAATATTGTGTTTATTTGTGCTTTGTTCCTTTATGGGATAAAGGCGTCTTCTACATATGCAGCCTAATAAAATGTTACAATAATGATGATGATCATAAATATTTATTTGCGGACACGGAGTTTTTGCGAAATGGACTTGTTTCTGTGCGAAGGCTATTTTCAATTGGCAATTTCAGTTTGAAGGGTGATGGAAATGTGCCTACTTTAACTGCTCTGTAGCCTACTTATCACTGCGTTTTATTTCTATAAATTAATTCGTTTCAAATGGGGTCCAACCAGTTATTAAAGGTTTTAAAATTTAACTCTGTATGTTGCAGCGCGAACACTATGGTTAACCGAGTATTAACGGTTAATGAAAAACGTGCAGCCCTACTCTTGATATTAATGCAGAAATAATCGTGCAGATTGCCATGCGTGGGTCGTCATCATTGATTTTGAAAATATTTCCACACTGCTGAGGCTGACATTGCATCTGGTGTCTCTGTGTGCACTGGAAAGTTCTGTCAGTTACTTCGCGTGAGGTATCGGTCTTTGGTATCAGGGTATTTTTACGAGTACGAGTACAAGTACATGAGCTTGGTATCGGGCCCGATACTGGTATCGGTATCGGTGCATCCCTAGTGGTCCCATGACAAGACCACATCACCTTCACCCTCACACACGCACACAATTTTTTTTTTCTCTTTCTCACATACATGTAAAGACACCCATACAACAAAATATTTTCTGATATATATATATATATATATATATGAAGAGTTCAGATGTAAAAGCCTCTAAGTGCCATTTGAAATTTTCTTCTAGAATGATCATTTTTATCAAGCTTGTATATTTAAGTTTAGTGATTTCACTTAAATGGCAATGGTAATTACCTATTAATTGTTATTTAAGTGAAATTACTGAACTTAAATATACAAGTTTGATAAAAATCATTCAATAAAAATTCCAAATGGCATTTAGAGGCTTTTGCATCTGAACTCTTCATATATATATATATATATATATATATATAATATGTGTGTGTGTGTGTGTGTATTTCAAAGTATACCGACATATATTGCTAATATATATATTTACATAAATATATTTTTCACAATACATTTTGCATTACCCAATTTTTTAAAGATTGGGACCGCACTTTTTGTCCCTTAATGTAGATTTTGTTATATATCATACATATTATATAAAATGTATGTTTTAGGCAATATATAGAAAAAATGTTACTTTCATATATAAACATGCATGTTTACATAAGACATGCATGTGTGTTTATGACTCTTGCGTGTAGGTTTTTTTCTTAATTTGTATGGTGGAGGGTACGTATTGAGCCCCTTTGTCAGTTTGTGGTAGGCACGACAATCTTCAAAGCGCCGTCATGTAAAGTCGTCTCACGAGCATGTGTAATCATGGATTGCATATTACATGTAGAGACGGCTCTTGGAGGTCAAGGTCAAAGGTCAGCCATGTGTATGCTAAGCATTTAAGCTTTTATAATACGTATGCAGAGACAAGGCCAGAAGCCCCTTCATCACTCTTTATCTGAAGGTGATCCTCCCTCTCGTAAGCTTAACCCAGGACCCATGTTTGTACAGTATTTCATGTGTGCAGCTTTTCATCTGTTAAATACACAATGGATTACACTCTGTTTAAAATCTTACATTGAGTTATGACATGATCTCATTCTGAAACATAATTTTTGTATGGTTTACACTTCATGGTTGATATACTTTTCTGTAACAATGCCATGAGAGACAATTGTAAACACTTACTCTGACTATTTAAGTTGTAAGGTATTTGCTGTTGCTTTTAGTTGATTTACTGTGTGTGTGTGATCCTGGTAAACCCTATGTTATGGGGACCAAATGTCCCCACAAGGATATTACCAGACATGTTTGAGATTGTGGGGAATTTTTGGTGAGGAAAATAGCTTTTTGATTTTGAAAATGTAATAATGCAGACATTTTCTGAAAAGTTTGTGTTTAGTGTTATGGTTTAGAATATACAATTTGTACAGTATAAACATAATTATGTCAATGGAAAGTCCTGGACCCAACATGTGTGTTTCTCACTTGCAGCTGAGTTGGCCAGCTCCAAGAGACAGGGTGGAAATGTGTATGCTTGCTGGAAAAAACCCTCTTGTAAGTATCATCAAACCGGTCTTGTAAAAAAGAAAGGTAAACTGTTTTGCATCAGGCTAGGGCTGGTTAATAAAACGATAATGATAGTTATAGCGATATAATTTTTCTCGATAAAACGATATCAAGAGTTCAATAAATGTTCGATAATGTTTATGTGCCAAAAGTGGAATGAAACTCATTTGAACCGCAGGCACCTCACGGACTGTCTATCCGCTCGGCTCAAAATCCAAACGGCAGCACAGCGCGAGCTCACTAGAGCAGATGTGTTTACTCTGATCGGCCTCAGTCACGAGATCCAGCGAGAAGTGCTTGAATTCAGCTAAGAACACAAATGTCTCAGCAATTTTAACCAGTTGAAAGGCAGATGAAAAAGCACTGACGAACAAGAGAAACACTGTGCGCAACAATACAGTCAGAAGGCTTTTCCGTCTACAAATTCCCATCATTTATCACGGATTTACTGTAATATTAGAGTTAATATTAGCCAATATGAACTGCTCTATGAAATGTGGGATATACATATTAAATTGCATTACATTATTAATGTAGACAATGTAAGGACTAATGGAATATAATAACATTATTAAATAATGTATTTAGGCTACAGTTTTTCATTCAAATACCAAAGAAACCATAAAGTAACATTTTGCCATGATGGTGAGGTGCTGTAGGCTATGCCCGGTTTTAAATGCATGTATTTAAATGCATGATGCTGGATGACCAGTGTTAATTTTAATAAAACTTAAACATTTTACATTTTATCAAATAAAAATTAGCACATGCAGAAACTAAGATATTTATTTTGTTAAGGAAAAATTATATGTTTGAATGTTCTAACTCAGATTTGACAAATGTTCTCGTGTTTGGCAAGTGTTTGTCATGATATGTTCTGACAATAAAGAGTAGGCTAGTTAAAACCACAATTAATGCTCTGGTTTCTACAACTTTCACTTAGGAGCAAAAATCTGCCCTTAATCTTAAAAGAAATAAAGATTTTACATTTATCGTGATAATTATCAATATCAACTGATATATATATATATATAAAAAATATCGTGATAATTTTTTTTTTGGCCATATCGCCCAGCCCTAGCTTCCACTTCCAGTTTTTTAATGATTCTTTAAAGGAAGAAAATAATACTTTTATTAAGCAAGGATACATTAAATTGATCCAATAACAAATTAAAGTTTCACAATGTTACAAAAGTTATATATATATATATATATATATATATATATATTAGTATTTAGATACTTGCTTACTTACACTTAGATTATTACACTTACAGTGTATGAATGTTATTGTTATTTGTATCAGAAACAGGTGGCATATAATTTTAGACATTAATATTGATTGATATGGTTCATTTTAGCATTTATCGTTCCATAAACCAAACATTTTGTGAAAAGTTTTACTTTATTAAGATCACAAGAATAATATGTTATTTATTGCAATGACTAATACATTTTTTGTGATAATTGCTCATAATTTCTTTTTTTCTCTTTCAACCTCAGACTGAATGTGCTAATTTCATAAGAGTTTTGCACAGCTATAACCGAACCCATATCTATGCCTGTGGCACTGGAGCCTTCCACCCCACCTGTGCTTTCTTAGAGGTCAAAGGTCACAAAGAGGCAAGAAATTAAATTATGACTGCTTCCACACAGACTATTCTGAGTTTGTTCAGGTTTTCTATTTAATTGACTAGAATTCTTGAAAGAGTTTTAAAGTTTTATGAATTAATTTCTCCTGTATGGTTACTAATAATAATGTGTGTTGTGTACTATGATCACAGGACAGCTGGTTGCACCTCCACAGCAACACTGTGGAATCTGGCCGAATGAAATGTCCTTTTGATCCACTCCAGCCTTTTGCTTCAGTACTCACAGGTGAAACTGAATCAGATCTTCCTTCTCTTAAACACAAACCTGATGTAAAGAGCATTTTACTCTTTACACGTGATCGGCTTTGACCCAAGAAAAATCTGGTTTGTCTTTTCTGTCTGTCAGACGTTTTTTTTTTTCTTCAAGTTAAACCGACCCTTATGTTTGTGGAGTACTGTGGAGAAATGTCACACCCTGTCAAGAGTACCAGCTGTAAACTTTCCAAAATGTCCATTTTTTTTTTCTTGTGTTCCGTTTTATGTGTCGTTTTTCCAGCTGAGCAAAATTTGATTAATTACAGCCATTAGTCATTACAGAACCTTCCTTCCTGAGAAGGCCTGAATTAGGAAAGCTTTAAATTAATGGTTTACTCAAAAGTGAAAATTATGAGTACAAAACCAAATTGTGACATGCTCCAAAAAGGCCCAACAAATCATAGAAATCATCCAGAAATAGAGCATTTAAGAAGAAAATATGTATCTCTATTGTAGTAATCGAATCTAAAGTAATTAATGCAAATGAGAATTTTCACTTTTGAGTGAAGTCTTTCAACAGTGTGGATGAGTGTGTTCGTTTATTGACACTGACAGGCATAATCAACCGGGAACAACTCTGGCAGAACACAGAGCACATTCTGTGCTCCAAACCAGAAAGAAGAAGGGTGACGGCAAATGATAATGATGATGAGAGAAATCATTTTAGTTATTCTAAAAACATATTCCATAAACCCTTCTTGGTTGTCATGGATACTGGAGAGTTTGTAACTTGTGTTTTGAACTTTAGATCACAGGGCATATCACGTGTGTGAGGAAAAGAGAATATGATAGTGATGGCTGATGGTCAGCTGTTGTAACAGTGCCTGCAGCCTGACTGAGCACAGCTCAATGTTTACGCTGAGATGCTCCCTTTCTTTGTTTTCAGATCAGTATCTCTACGCTGGCACAGCGTCTGATTTCCTGGGCAAGGACAGCACGTTTAGCCGCTCTCTTGGCCCGACCCCTGACCAGCAGTACATTCGCACAGACATCTCTGAGGACTACTGGATCAACGGTCAGTTTTCCCCACCAGTCCAGTTTACACTCAGTGAATAACATACAGGCACATCTTATACTAAATAGGCGTTGATCTGTAAATGTGGGCTTTCGGAAGAAGTCTCACCAAGGCTGAATTTATTCTTCAGAAATACAGTAAAACTGTAATATTGTGAAATATTAACAGTTTAAATTAAAATAACGATTTTCTACTTCGATATATGTCGATATTTAATGTTTTCCTGTGATGGTGAAGCTGGATGTAGTGTTCAGTGTCACACGATCTTTCAGAAATGAATCTAATATGCTGATTTGCTGCTCAAGTCATGTTTTTTTATTATTATTATCAATGAAAACAGTTGCTCTTTAATAATTTTGTGGATCATTTTCTCAGGATTTTTTGATTAAAAGAAAGTCTAAAAGAAGAACAGAATTTATTTGAAAAATAAATATTTTGTTATATTTTACATTTCTTTACTGTCACTTTTGATCAAAACCTTTGATTGGTGTATAAAAAAAACATAATTTTGGCCAAACACACAATCCCAGTATATCTTGCTGCTTGGAGAGTCTTAACGCTTCAATCTTTTAGACATAGTCTTCTCTAAGTTATTCTGAGTTACTGGCACCTTTCACTTCTCTCCTCTTTGAGTCTTAGTCATATGCAGAGAGTCCAATATAATACAGTCTTTGTCTAGTCATTGAGTTAATGACTGTCTCTCTTCCACCTATGATTTTCCTTCTGAATGTTAGAGCTCTTCTAGAGGCTGATGCAATTTAATGGAGTTTAAACCCACACAGTCTATTTTCCAACCCTAAACACTCATTAACGGTCTGCTTTGTGTCCAAAAGGAAATGCCTACACTAAACTGTAGGATACAGTTTTGTCTTTATACTCTCTCACACACAAACAGTGGATATGAAACAGGGTCTTTGCTGTTTTAATAGACTTCCCTAACGTTTTAAAAGGGATTGTTGGATTAGTATCACATAAATCAATTAAAGCTGACCAGCTTTTCTCTCTCGTCCACAGAGGGCAAGTTTATTTCCGCCCATCCCATCGCGGACACCTACAACCCTGACGATGACAAGATTTACTTCTTTTTCCGTGAGGCTTCCCGTGATGGGAGCACTGCAGATAAGAGTGTGGTGTCTCGCGTCGCCCGAATCTGCCGGGTAAGTTCTGTCCTCACGCTGCCTGATCGGATTCAAACTCACCTCATCTCTTTGATCCTTCCACAGCACATGCCATGAAATGTGCTTCCCCTGGGAGGGGAGGCTTCCTGGTATGTTCCCCTTGATGTGATCTGCTGAAAGCGGACCAAACCACTGTTGTCAGGCGGGGAAATCATAGCAGTGGTCTGGTCATGTAATTGCTGCCTAAGTCGTTGTTCATGATGACAGTGGAAGTCCCTAGTGTAGGGAAATAAGTGTGCAAAGTGACTCCATTGTGTTCCACCCATCCCTTAACACCAGTTCACTACGAAGGCTGGGGGCATTACGCTAATACCATCCATAAAGAAGTCAAAGTTAGATTTGATGTCATCTGAAGTAGACGATGGGGAACTATAGCTCAAACATCACACTGACCACAAATTCGTCATTTTTACTCCCTTGAAAGGGCACTGTGGGAACTCCATTGTCAAGTCCAAGGTCATTTCTAAAGAAAGTGAGCAATTGAATCCCTTCTCAAGGTCGTCATCAAAGAATACAGAATATGGAAGTCATTTTGGATATGGATAATCAGTTTGTTATCCTGGGTGACAAATGAACAAAGTTTAATGTAATTCCATTGTTTTGAGCTAAATTACTCTACCCATGCAAGGTAAACAAAAACTTGGTAAAAACACGTGTTTATATACGCTATCATTTCTCTTATTCTGTTTTGTATTTAATTTATGAAGCAAAGAATGTATAGTCAGTTGATCATAATCAAAAGATATTACTGTAAAATAGACTGAAAATAGAATAATCGACTGACTGTACATTACTGTATACTGTTTACAGGTTCTTACCAAAATAAATGGAAATATTATTTTGAGGTATAGAATTATTCATTATTTAATTTTTTTTTAATTAAATGAGAGAAGATCATATATATGTGAGACCACAGAGAGTGATACAATAGACATGAAACCAGAACTGATATTGTTCAAAAGCTGATATTGTTCAGTTTAACGCGTTATTAACGGCATTAACGCAAACCCATTTTAACGGCGTTAATTTTTTTTATCGCGCGATTAACGGTCTTTTTGTCCTAGCAAACTTTGTCGTTTTTTCACATGCTTTTGCTACAGGAATCCATTTCGGCGTCTCGCGCTCGTCATCCACTCAAAGCCGGCTCGCAAGCCCAAACGTGTGTTTGCGGCGTGCCTGTTGTTTTGTTTATGGTCTTGATCCGCTTGCACTTTGGTCAAAGAAGCAACAAACCGTCCTCACGCCGCGCAAGCCATTGAAATGAAAGGGTTTCAGGGACGTTTTGTGCCACACACACTCGTTTCGGCTTGCGAGCCGGCCAAATAGTGGATGACGAGCACGAGACACCGAAATGGATGCCCTAAAATTCTGAATGGAAAGTTTACTTTTAAAAAGTTGCCATATTGTCCCATTGACAAGACCAAGTGATCTGTGTTTTGTCGTTGTGAACTGAGCTATCATCATCGCAGCACGTCCAGTCAGAAACACCACTTGATGATGGCCAAGCAAACACACACACACACACAGACACACAGATGATGCGAATTCTCCGCCCCCTCGCCAATATTAGGGCCTCGTCAGTATTTCTTTCACCCTTTTACTGATAGACAGTGTTACATTGTGTGAGAGATTATTTATAGGCTATATGTTAGTGTGAAATTGAACACTATTCCAATGTTATTTTCAATAATATTTTTTCCACTTTTCCACTTTTCCATATTGATAAGAGCATTAAAATGAGAAAAAAAAATAATGTAACAAAAAGAAATCAAGAGACATTTAGAATAGATAAAAATGTGCGATTAATCGCGAGTTAACTATGCCATTAATGAGATTAATCGCGATTAAACATTTTAATCGTTTGACAGCACTAATATATATACAGTATATATATATATATATATATATATATATATTTTTTTTTTTTAAATGTATCTTGTTGCTATATACAAGATACATTTAAATATCTTGTATACATTTTAGATACATAGGCATATATATATATATATATATATATATATATATATATGTATGTGTGTGTGTGTCATTAAAATATAAAAAAATAAATAAATTGGAATAATATTTTATAGTATTACTGTTTTTAGGTTATTTTTGTCAAGTAAATGCAGCCTTGATGGAAATTCTCCAATACCTATTTGTCTGAGTATATGTTGAAAACAGTTTTAAAGGGATACTCCACTTTTTTTTGAAAATAGGCTCATTTTACCACTCCCCCAGAGTTAAACAATTGAGTTTTACCATTATCCAGTGTATTCAGACAATTTTCTGTTATTTAGAAGAATATCAGTAACCAGACAGTTTCTGGTCTCATTGACTTCCATAGTATATTTTTTTCCTACTATGGAAGTCAATGAGACCAGAAACTGTCTGGTTACTGATAATCTTCTAAATATCAGAAAATCGGCTGAATGGATTCGAAAACGGTAAAACTGAACTGTTTAACTCTGGGGGAGTTGTAAAATGAGCCTATTTCCCAAAAAATGTGGAGTATCCCTTTAATGCACAGTGCTTCAATTGACCAATAGCAATCAAATATTGTAGAGAGCTGTGTAGTGATTTCAAGCAATTGTCCGTGCAAGTCAGCTGTCAACCTGCAAGTATAAAAAGTCAATGATTTAAAGCAGTTTCCTTAATGCTGTAGACGCATCCTCTCGGGCTGTATGCTATAAAAATTCCAAGCTCTATTGCAAAATTCTTGTTTCGAAGCGGGCCGGTTTTTATAGCTTTAGGAGTGAGCTGTAAAGCTATCCGAGGCCAGATTCCTTACTGGATAACTGGCCTAACACTAGAGAGGGCATCTTTGAAGATTAAAGAATTTGGAAAACGCCACTCCTAAACCTCTTTTAGGTCTTCGCCCCCCCCTTTTTCTCAAGTGTGTGTGTTATTCAACAGGGATAATGGCAGAGGATGAATATGTTTGCTGCTTTAAGTGGGTGTAGGTGAAATCATTGGAGTCCTTTGATTAAACCCTCCTGGCTATAATGAGGAGATTAATTTAGGTGTTCTCAGCATGTTTTCTCGTTCTAAGACCTCTCAGTGCTCTATTGTGCATCTAAAGACGTAAACCTGCTCTTGGAGTGTTCATGGAGAGGGTCGTTATATTCCCATTATAAACTCGCCTCACTCGCTCTTCACGATTTCTTCTCTTTTTCTTTGTCTGTCTCTTTTGTGTGTTGTGTGCCTCTTAAGTCTGTGTGTACCTGAGGGGTTTGTGGTGTTCTGTAGTCACATGCTTAATTAAATAAGCTGCTCTAATCAGTAGCAAATGCTGGTTTTACATGTTTACTGTAAAGCCTATACTGCAACTAGACTAAAGATTATAAACATGTGCTTTCATAACAACAACATTTAATGAACCTATATGCTTGCAGAATGATGTTGGGGGTTTGAGAAGTCTTACCAACAAGTGGACAACATTCCTCAAAGCAAGACTTGTGTGCTCCATTCCTGGACCAGATGGAGTGGACACACACTTTGATGAGCTGCGTAAGTGATGCGTTTTCTGTTCCTACTCCCTCTCACAAACACATATTTCAGTTTTATCATACTTCTTGGCATTTAAAAAGATGTTCATCGTGTTTTGTGTGTGTGTGTGTGTGTGTTACAGAGGACATCTTTCTCCTCCCTAGCAGAGATGAGAGAAATCCAATGGTGTACGGAGTGTTCACCACCACCAGGTGAGAAGTATTAATATTAATATTACTTCAGAGTATTAATACTTCATTGCTTTTGGTTTGGTACTGTAGCTTGAAATCCATTGAACATGTTGATGTGCTATAAAATTAGTTAAAATAGATTTTATAGATGGTAATTAGTAGGGCTGACTTCTAATAGTCGAGGATTCGACGATTCGATTCGGAGAGGTCTGATTCGACTATGAACGTTATAGTCGAATAGTACACGGCCAGTTCAACCTCGTATAAATCAGGTTATGTGTGTCTCCCGCTCACGAACGCTCACTCTTAACAGACACACGAACAGACACACTGTCCCCGGCGCTGCTCGCGTGTCACAGTAACCCGGTCGTCTCATTCAAAACAGCCAGCCGTTGCGGTCAGCAACCCGCCACACATTGAATACTCAGGCTGCGGATGTAAGTTACGTGTCCGCCCCAGCGCGCTCACACACAATAAACTCCTCACCTCCGGCGCCGCGCACTCGCTATATTCCCAGCACATCTAGTAGATGCATAACGCAAACCCAGTCAAACGTTTGACTGCAGTATCTTATGCGCCTCATAATCCGGTGCGCCCATATGAAAAATTTTCTAAAATAGGTCATTCATTGAAGGTGCGCCTTATTTAAAGTGCGGAAAATACACTATACATGCGTTTTAATTCTGTGAATTACACTGCTCAAATCAGATGAGGAAGGGTTGGCTCTCCACAAAACATAAAATATTATTTTTCGTGTTCACAGAGGAAAAAACAATGTTACAGACGTGACAGTTCTCCGACGGACACAAGCGCTCTTAAGCAGCACTTAAGGACTGCTTTAAAACTTTCACAGACCTCAAAAAAAAGCACAAAGCCTTTCTTTAAAGTGAATTTCGTTTTTTTATAATTTTTTTCTTGATTTTAATTAATGTTTCATCAACCAACTGTCTGGATTTAATAAATAAGAAGGAAAAGCAGACAGTTACTGATAATCAAGGCACGGAGGCACCAATGTGCTGGAGCTCGTCTCATAAATATAGCTACCGCAACTCAGCGTATAAGTATAGTCTACTCCACAGACCTGAAACATATCTATATTGAAATGTCTACTTGTAAATAGAACGATTCAAAACGAAAGAAAACGTAATGCTCTCTGCTTATGAAATGAACTGTGGGTTTCTCTCTGGCGCATGCTCTATGCGAAGATCGCGCAGCATCGTCAACTTCATCTTTAATAAACAATTCAAATGTCTCCTTGCTATATTTGTTCTTTGTGACAGCTTTTTATTTTCTGCTTAGGCTAAAGCATTAAGTTGCAATTTACACGCTCACCACCACATCAAAAACATGATTGCATGATAAAAACATGAAAAATACCTAAACATAGCCTAACTGTTTAGAGAAAAAAAAACAAAAAAAAAAACAGAACGAATAGCCTAATGCGCATACATCCATCTCTTTTGTTTGAAATGGAAAAAATATAGCTGCTAGCTATATAGACCTATCTAAAAAAAAAAAAAAAAAAAAGGTTCGACTATCAGTCGACTATGGCAAAATCTAACGAATCAGATTCGACTGTGAAAATCCTTAGTCGAAAACAGCCCTAGTAATTAGTATAAAGTTGCCTATGTAGCATTCAGCTTCTTTAGTTTTTGTAACTTTTTAGGGGTTCAAGCACGAAGTGCTGAAACCCTATTGTTTTTGTACTGATTTTTATTAGGGGTTCAAGCACGAAGTGCTGAAACCCTATTGTAATTGTATTGATTAGGGGTTCAAGCACGAAGTGCTGAAACCCTATTGTTTTTGTACTGATTTTTATTAGGGGTTCAAGCACGAAGTGCTGAAACCCTATTGTAATTGTATTGATTTTTATTAGGGGTTCAAGCACGAAGTGCTGAAACCCTATTGTAATTGTATTGATTTTTAGGGGTTCAAGCACGAAGTGCTGAAACCCTATTGTTTTTGTACTGATTTTTATTATTATTATTATTCTCCCCTAAAACGCATCGTGCAGACCAAACCGTAAGTGCTGGAGCTCTGAAACTTTGTCAGATGGTAGTACAAAAATCGAGGAGAGGTTATCAAATTATGAGCCCGATTGGCCCATAGGTGGCGCTATAGCGACCAATTGCGTGAAACTGCTCATAACTCCTAGACCGTAAGTCGTACACTCAAGTGTCTTATATCGTTGGAAAGCTGGTCACCTGACGAAAAAAACGTATATCTCCGATTTCATTTCCGTCATGATAGATTTTCCGCCATTTTGAATTTTGTCGAAAAATTACTTTTGCGAACTAGTCCCTGGATTTTTGCCCGATCGGAACCAAACCAGTGCAGAAAGGTTCTCTGGAGTCTGAAGATCAATAATTATCAAAAAAATGTTGAAATTTCTCGTTCCGGTCGCTAGGGAAAGCAAAATAAACGTTGTGGGAGGAGCCTATTTTACTAAAATGGCTATAGCTCGAGAAGTAAATGAGATATCTTCACCAAACTCGGTACACATGTGTAAGAGTTCAATTTGAGGTGACAGTAAAAAAATCGCGACGATTGAACACTAGGTGGCGCTATAAAATGAAAAAAACAGATATACACCTGACCGTCAGTCCGATTGACTTGAAAATTGGTATGCAGTGTCTTGGTCCAAGGCCTCATGTAAGTCTATGAGGACATTGGTGTATCTCAAAAAACATGGCCGCCATCGGCCAATGAAGTTTGAGCATCTATGAAACAAGGTTAATGAAGGCCGATCGGAACGAAACTCGTTGGGAATGTTCGACTCATGGCCCTAGAGGTCTGTAAGAATTTTGAAAGAAATCGGCCACTAGTTGGCGCTAACGAGTTTTATTGCTCTGTAATCACGTGGTGTTGCACACACCCCCACAAAATGTATATCAATTGATAGATCTCCTCATGATGAACAACTTTGCCTCAAGAACCATTGCTGTCAATCAATTCGTTCGTTAAATATTCACGAATATGTTAAAAACCTACTTTTGCGAACTAGTCCCTGGTTTTTTGCCCGATCGGAACCAGACTAGTCTAGGATAATTCTTTGGACTCTCTTGATTAATAATTATCCAAAAAAAGTTCAACTTTGTCATTTGTCTTGCTATAACAGGGTCATTTACAAAAGGGCGTGACAAAAAGCCCCCAAAAGCCTGTAAATCCTAAAGGAAAACTCAGAACTTTACAAAAATTGATGAGCATATGTGTCATAACATGCTGAAGAAGCATGCACAGTTTCATGGAGATCGGACCATAGGTGGCGCTATAACTGTTAAAAAGCTTTAAAACCATGCATTTCCAATGGTAAATTGCCAGTATTGGCTGTAAATGGTGTTTTCCATCTCTGATCATATCATAATGTTAAAACCAGTGCAGTACAATTCTCTGGACTCTCTAGATCAATAATTATAACAAAAAGTTGAACTACGTCATGTGGATGACTATAATAGGATGGCTTCAACATTTAGTGTGTTGAAGCCATCTATTAACTTTCAGTGTCCCTGAAAGCGTTGATCTCTTCAATAAACAAGTCAGAACACGTGACATTAAATAATCATGAACATTTTCAGACAGATCGGACAAAATATGCCTAAATAACAGTTAAAAAGGTGAAAATGATGGTCTGTTAAGCCAATAAGTGGAGTTTTACTGCCACCTGCTGTTCAAAATAGTAAGTTGTCATATATAATTCATATTATGACTATCAATTCACTAATTTAACATTTACAATCATATTTAGTCAAAAAGTACTATGACAACTGTCATATTGAATTAAAATCTACACACACTCATTCAGTTGTAGATAAATGATATGAATACCTACCACTGTTGTCACTGTTTTTAACAGTTTTATAACATTAGATTACAAAGAAATATCCCAAAGGTGTGTGTGTGTGTGTGTGTGTGTGTGTGTGTGTGTGTGTGTGTGTGTGTGTACATCTCTGATCATATCATAATGTTAAAACCAGTGCAGTACAATTCTCTGGACTCTCTAGATCAATAATTATAAGAAAAAGTTGAACTACTTCATGTGGATGGCTATAATAGGATGGCTTCAACATGTACTGTGTTGAAGCCATCTATTACTACACTTTCAGTGTCCCTGAAAGCGTTGATTTCTTCAATAAACAAGTCAGAACACGTGACATTAAATAATCATGAACATTTTCAGACAGATCTGACAAAATATGCCTAAATAACAGTTAAAAAAGGTGAAATGATATCAAAATGATGGTCTATTAAGCCAATAAGTGGTGTTTTACTCCCCTCTGCTGTTCAAAATAGTAAGTGTCTCACAACTCAACTATAATTAATATTATGACTTTATTAATGATCTATTTTAACATTTGCAATCACATTTAGTCAAATATTGAACACAATCATTTTTTTTTCAAAGTTTATCACTTCAGTTGTTCTGAATCTTCACATAATTGCTATTAACGTGGTAAATAGCTATACTATATTCCTAGAATCACATTAAAATCCAATCATCCAAGCCCCAATCACTGTAAATAATGATAAATCATGCTAGAACATGGTAAATTAATGTACACTATGGTCAGAGGTGTAGTGGTAAAAAAAGAGGTGGGTAAACTATAAATTCTGGTGGACCACGACGTGTTAAATTTGATAAATAAATTAAAATATTTCGAATAATAAGACACTATGGGCTATTACCCTAGGGGCTGATCAAATTAAATCATTTACACTAAAAAATCACAATTGCATAAAATAATGTTATGACATTTATTTAAATTTACATAAGAAACTGGGAAAGAATGATACTACTTTTAAACATTTAACACTAAACCGCCAGTAGGTGGTGGCAGGCGACCGTCTTAATGAGTGAGTCATTGATTCATTCATTCAAACGATTCGTTCAAACGGCTGATCATTCAAGAATGAGACCGATGTTTTTGAATGGGTCTTTGAATCTTTGACTCAATCGATTCGTTCAAAATGCTGAATCATTCAGTAAACACGTCGAGTGTTCCTGTGACATGTGCCGTGGTTCT